GAAGTAAAAACATACATTAAAATGCTTGAATTCGTATATTGATTTATTCATTCACTGAAAAAACAAATAATTGAGATATTATTCTGACTTAAGGCATCGTTTCTTATTGCTTTTTTGTGTTAAATCTGAGCGGACTTAACTGAAAGTCAGTTTCTTGAGTTAAAGAAACTTTGTTTTGTTATCGTTAAGTTTCGGTTAAAAAAACGATAACATAGTAACGTTTCTTTAACTCATAAAATGGATTTAAGTTAAATCCGCACGGATTAAACTCTAAAAAACCAAATTTTGTCGAAGAGAAAAGACGCAAGGAGAAAAAACAACACAGTTATTCTACGGTTACCACAATAATGTCACACGGGACTCCACAGTAGTGGAACCGTGGATTTTGGTAATATTATTGACGAGCACAATAGCATAACCATGCTTATAATAGTATATATGTGCCCACAGTAATATTACGGCGAACACGGTCATATCATCGTTATAAGAATCAAAATCCACGGTTCTACTACCTTGGAATCCCGTGTGACATTACAACCGTTGTAACAGTAGAATAAATGTGTTTTTTTTTCTCGTTGCGCTTTATAAGTCAAAATAATATCTTAAGAAAAAAATTGGTCAGTGTTGATTCGTACATTTATTCACATATTGATTCGTACATTGATTGTGTGTTTATCGACTATCAAGTTGTTCTCCCAAGCGCTGAAGAACCACCTTAGGATGAATATATTCAAGCACAATTATGTAGCATCCACAAGCGATGCCCTAAATTATTTTCGTCGTAGACTTGGCAGGTTGGAAAAGGGAGTGGAGTAGTGCCGTGGTTACTGGGTTAGGAGTATCTCGCCCTACCCGAGAATACCGCGACCCAGGGGCAACGCGGCGTGTGTCGTGCGAGACAAGAATCATCCCCTCGATCCCACCTTCACCATCTGCTACCACCCCGGATAATACATCATACAGAGTCTTTCTTAAAGAGTTTTGAATCATCCGAGAAAGCTATCCGCCGAATGGAAGGATACAGAAGAGAACCAACGCCATTACAGTGCTTTCATAATCGCGCAACGGAGAATTTTCACACAACAATTTTATTGTTTTATCTGAGAGTGCTGAATATGCTGAATTCGCAGTGTTTTTTCATAATTTTTTCCTGAAATGGGAAATTGTACAAAAATAGATTTAAAAAAAAGAAGGTGGAGAAATGGTGCTGGGTCCACAACCATTTTGCGGGGAAAACAAAGCCAAGAAGTTCCAAAAATTATAATCAGAGTCAAAATTAAATTTTTTGAACTCTAATTTTGACTTAATTTTGACTCTAATTATAATTTTTGGAGCTTCTTTGCTTTGTTTTCCCCTCGAAATGGTGTGGACCCAGCACCATTTCTCCACCTTCTTTTTTTTAAATATATTTTTTGTACAATTTCCCATTTCAGAAAAAAATTATGAAAAATACTGCGAATTCAGCTTATTAAATTTTTTGAACTCTAATTTTGACTTAATTTTGACTCCTAATTATAATTTTTGGAACTTCTTGGCTTTGTTTCCCCCGCGAAATGATTGTGGACCCAGAACCATTTTCCCACCTTGTTACATACAGTTGGGCCACTTTTTAGCGTTTTTTTTTTTTTTTTTTTTTTTTTTTTTTTTCCATTTAAAAAAAAGTATAGCACGAATATCGGAACTTTTTTTAAGTCTCACCCGGGTCGATTGTTGAATCGTTATTGAATGACCTTGATCGATTAATAACACTGCTAAGATAGGGCTTTATCGATCGAGTTCATTCGATAAGGATTAATTGATCGACCCGCCGCGCCGGTCACATTGCTCACATGGTTCGTGTCGGGTTTGTGATATATAGTGCGCCTGTGGATTGTGTTGAGGATATGTGCAATTTTACGTATCCGCTCGTTCTCGAGTAATGTACCATTGTACCGCTAGGGCAGTCGGTCAAGTGTTACGGCACGCAATTTGCCATTTTTAATTTTCCCGCAACAACATAACGACATCGGATATCCAGATCATGCGTTGCCAAGATTCCATCAAGTTTAGACACGTCCAATATATCCGGGAATATTCAACATTTGAGACAAATATTTTTCAAATGGTCGATTTTCTGCTCAACTTAAAGGTATATAGTTATTCAAAACCCGGTCAGATTGTTTGGAAGCTTTATTTATCACTAACATTTCACAATCAAGAATGTGTCGGTTAAATAAAACTTTTAGCATTCTAAAATCTCCCAAATATAAAATAAAGTATGACAGGATGTCTGCAGTGTTCCAACGGAAATATGTGGTTTTGCCATCAAATTCGTGGCCATCGATACAGTACATTCTTACATGGTTTCTTTCAGAAGAAATACGTCCATTTAGCTCCCTTTTTTAGCACGACATAGTGAAGGTAATTGCACTGTGTTAAGTAGGAAGAGACCATGCCACATCAGCCATTGCCAAATTTAACAAGGCAATTTAATTTTTTACATGAAAACGCACTGAAAAAAAAAAGATTGGTAGAATTTACCAATCCTTCACGCTGTATTTCACACAGCGTCAATTTAGAGTCAATTCTGCCAGAAGAAAGGTAAAATTTACTATATACTGCTACAGATAACCATTCCTCTGGCAGAATCGACTTGAAGATTGGTAGAATTGACCATTTCTTCACGTTGTGTGAAATACAGCGTGAAGGAATGGCAAATTCTACAAATCTTTTTTTTCTGTGAGGTTGTGCGGATTTTTTTTTTGCAAATTTCAGTGAATTTTCTGCACTGTGCGAAGAAAATTCTTTAAGATTTTCGAAGGAATCCGCACAAACGTTCTATGGTGAAACAGCAGACTGCTTGGTTACATTTGGCAATTACTGATGTGGCTTAGTTCCTTCCTACTTAACGCGGTCCAATTTATCGGATGTACTGTTGTTCCGCGATCTGATCACAAGTTAGTCTGCTCGTCAACAGGCATCGGGTCGGATCGAACCCGAGGCTTGAAGCCAAGTGAGAACAATTCCAAAAAGCATTGCCAGCAGGTGCAAAATCACCGATACCAAGAATCGATTTCCCCACATAGCAGCACACGACATAATTGGAAATATGGCAACACGATCCGAAGTTTTTGGCACTCCCAAATAGAGCTGTTCGAGAGTAGCGCGCCAAGAAAGTTTTGAGAGCGACAAATAGGAAGCTCTTTGTCCTCCACCCCCGCGGACCATTCTGCGCTGATAATTGAAACCCGCCTAAGTCTAGAGGGTGACCCCGAGAAGATAAGTTGTTTCGGCTAACTTCGGCTGTGTTCCACGACGTCTGGTTCAATCAACCATGCAGGTACCCTACATCTCAGGAGTTTAGAGATATCCTATCTTTCGATTAGAGCTCAGCACCTCTGTGGCTTGCATTTTGAAATCAGTGCCGTGGCGTACTTTGCGAGATATTGAATGATCTGTCATTTAAACCTATGGTAAATGATCGATAAACAGGGTGTTTGCAGCGAGCACCTTCGTAATCTATTCTGTACCACAGCTTCAAATGATAAATATCGATTGTGAATCATTCACACCTCACCGCTGGTTGAAATTCTTGTCAGTGCAACAAGACACTAAAATTGAGATAATACACGGCACAGGTAGGACCATGCCAATGTCTTACCTTTCCGAAGAAGTCACAACTAGTTTTAACAATCAGGTTGCAGATTTCTCCGATTGTGAGTCATCAAGAAGCAACGCTCGGACTGGCGTGCGGCCAGCGCGATATGCGCATTGGCGCCTACAAGACTGCAATGATAGTCGCGCATTGCGTATACACCCTAGCATGTGTACGGGTACGCGACGCGCAATGCGTGAAGTATCTCTGCAGTCCTATAGGCGCTGACACGCGTTAGCCACACGTTGCGCCTCGCGCCACGCCATTCTGTGTTTGGCTCTAATATTTAAACTTACGGAGTCAGGGTTTTTCAACTAATGATTTTGAAATATTTGTACACTTTGTATGGAATATTGTCATTCAAAATAATGACAAAAATCCAACTAATTTCCTCTCTTTTTTATATGTTTTATACTCGCGCAACTAATCTCACGTAGTAGTTAGTTAGACGGCGTTATCAAGAACTACCCGAACCATGTAGATCTTGCCCTTTTTTAACAGCCACTTTTTTGGCAACATAACGCTGTTCCGTAATGTGACGTAGCCCAACAGCGCGCGCCATATACCTATCCGTAAGTTCTCGCGCACCACAAATAGGCTGTTCCGACTTCAACAGCTAAAGATAACTCGCCGATTCCAAGCAATAATGCTTTTTCAAATCATTCAAAAATCACATTCTTTATACTTACTCCCTTAAGGTTCAATTTGCCTACAGAAGATCGACTTTTTAGACGAAATTCAAAACAATCATATGGATTTGTATTCAAAAGAATCATCGATTGTCAGATGTCCGAATCCGATTGGACAACATTTTTCGAAAACGCTTCACCCTAGGGTTAGGTGACCGCGGTGATTCTATAGTGGTAGTAAGCAATCATCGGGGTATCCAACAGAAAAAAAACACTGCGTTGACTTCAAACATTTAACAAAAATCGGATCCATTACGCCTAGAGATTACGTTTCAACTGTTTATTCATTCCCAAAAATCTGGTTTGCAAAAGATAAATTAAAGCTGAAAGTATGCAAACACTAGAATCAGACGGGTTTAACTGAATCAGCCTCAGCTGGTTATCTAATTTTCTTTCCTGTTTTATCTTTTAACCAGAAAATTTAACAACGCTAATACTTGAAACCTCGTTACTAGTTTTCATAATCTATGATTTTACAAAAAGTGGGAAGGTGTCGAGTAATTTAGTTTTCTGTTAGGCAAAAATTAATACATGAGAGAAAATGAAAATTGGCTGCCTCGTAAAATTAACGATTGGATCGGAGCAGATCTCAACAGCTTTTTCACAGGGGAAACAAATTGTTGCCGTGTTTTTCGCACAAAAGCTGACATCTTTTTTTCTTTTTCGTTTGTTCACAGAATACTGTAGACAAATTAGTTAGTTCGGGACCACCTTCAACAATCGAAAATACTTCTTGGGGCCAACAATTCAGCGACGCATGTAAAGTGCTCCCAGGTAAGGATTCCGTCACATTCTCCGTGCCGTTAACGATTCCGGCAAGTCCGCAACACTGTTAATACTCCGTTTAAATCCATTGAATATATCGATTTTAGGCGAGACAGGCTGCCTCAACTAAAATCGATTTTTCAATATACATGTAAATTGAGTTAAAACGATGTTGTTAGCTTGCTGGGATCGCCGCTACTAACAATCAGTGCTGAATCAATTATTGCAGATCCGGAAATAGAAAATTGCTTGAAATGTTTGGGTAATGTGCTTCAAGACAAGGTGAAAGAAGAAAAACTGCGGAACATGTTCTCTCTTTCTAAAATTTCACCAAGAAAAAATCGCGCGACGAAAAATCTGGAATTAAACTCCTAAACAAGATGCAAGTGTTTCTTTACAATTTACACCGGTTGGATCAAAATAATGTGAATGGCTTCATCTGCATAATCCATTCGGACTTCACTTTGCAATTGGGAACTCCAATTTCTGGCTCATCTGTGAAAACGCTTATGCGCATAGGGAAACTAATGGTGAATACCTTGTTTCTATTCTAAGCCAGAAATTTTAGTTCCTAACTGCGAAATGCAGTCAATTTGATATGTCTTAAATATGATTGTTCATACCTCAACGTGCAAGAGTTATTTCCACATTTCTCGTTAGGCGAATTGTTCTCCACCTAAACTTTGGGAAGGCGAACATTTAACGTTTTGGCCTCCCCGCCTCCAGTCTACACCTTGTTCAGTGGTCCATTTTGACGGAAGAAGATAGCATATCCCTCAAGGTTCTTGTCCTGCAGACATTACAATCACTCTTAAATTCCCGTTTAAATGAAGTATTAGTAGACTGGCAACTGACACTCTTTATGGACTCAAATATTTACGTCCTGCAAATATTTGATAGTAAAGTTGTGAGAGCAATCAATCATTCCGGCTCATTTATCCAAGCATTTACATCCAGAAAGAACCTAATGTCACGTACGCTGTTTCTAAATTAAGTTAAATAATTTTGGAACCTACTTGAGGGGTCATGAGGGATGCTCTACAAACATGTTGGGGCAAACATTGCCCGAAAATTGGCAAAGCAAACAGAAGCCGCGGCAATTTCAAGTTTGCAATTTGAAAAATAGTTTTGAGGAAAACCCTTTTAAAAATATCGTTTTTCATGATCAGGTCACAAAATTCGCGGATTACGATGCACCTTTGCGATCTTCATTGGCGTTTGGATAGACTAAATCGATTGTCATTTAGATTGAATACATCGATAATGATTTTTTTTTGAGGCTCATAGAGGGATATCCTCTATAAACTCTTAAAAAGTCTATTTGTTCTGACTCAAGTCGATAAAATTGCCCAATTGATAATTTATACTATATTCAGTAATTTAAAACTACGATCTAAGGCTCATCTACAGAGTCACCTATCAGCATAGGGGAATGAATATCACATATTCTGTTTCTAAAATAAACCAGAAATAGTAGTCCTCAATCACAAAGTGTACTTAATTTTCCATTGAACCATTGTTCCTTTTCTTATGGGCGATCACATATTGGACCAAATCTGCGGTAAAAAACTACAATTTTTGGCCCGTTTCAAAAACAACGTAAAAGGGATTAAATCCTTGAGCAGATGGGTCATTTTATAGTTAAGCCATAAACAGTAGCTCCTATATGCAAGACCTAATCCCATGGTGTATTTTATCGATCACCGAGATTCAGAAAGAAATAGAGCCACCATTAGAATCTCTAGATAAGAGTATAAAAGAATTAATCGTGCCGGTAAGATTTGTGAACAACACGAGAGATGAATGGACTACATTTTGCAATGGGGAACTATAATTTCTGACTCATCTGTATAAAAACATATATCTGTGGGGAAACTAATGGTGTTTACGTTGTATTTAAACTGAGCTAGAATTTGTAGTTCCTAATTGCAAAATTTAGTCCAAATTGCTTGCATTCTGGTCAAAAAATTGAGGGCGAAATTATTAGCATACATGTCCGCCTCCATGCCCCTTTCATATTGTTTCTGCTCTCTCGAAATTTATCTCAGTCTGCATCTGGATAGTTGAACTATTTTGACATCGATCGATTAATATCATTGCTAAGATAGAAATTTATCGATAAAAGCCATTCACTAACGACACAACAATCGATACCTATGAGACTAACAATATCCAACACAGCTGATTTAACCCTAGCCTGTCTGAGCCTCTGAACCAAAGAGAAAGCCTGAGCGGGGTCAATTTGACCCCAGCTGAAAATCAATTAGTTAGCTATGTTTTTTTTCATGTTTTTAGTTAATATCAGTGCACTAACCTTACAGGCCTTAACCATAAAGCATATCTAAGTTTTAAAAAACACGGCGCAGGGTATGCAACCATTTTATCATATACGTGTTGCCATGTTGTTCTCAGCATGAAAAAAAAAAATCATAGGGCTACTAAATACTGAAAACGAAAAAAATCTGAAAAATTTTGCTTGTTTTATAAGTTTCTGAAAAAATTAAAAAGAGAAAAATGAATACACCTTCAAAGTAAGCTTTTGTGATGCTAAATGGTAAAATATGTTATAAGGATATTTGACCCCGCTCAGGCTTTCTAGGGGTACTCGTGAATTTTTTGATCTCTCATGCACTTTTTTTTTTTTTCCCCTTCAAAATCGTGTTCCTAGATGTTTTTGTAGAGCTATTTGTGAAGGACAAAAAATTTCGTGCATACCACGAGAAATGGCAAAGAGTTGAAACTCCCGTGGGGTCAATCTGACCCCACTCAGGCAGACTAGGGTTAAAACATCACTCAAATCCACTTAGCATTACGAATATTAATGATTACCTCTGATAAATGGACCAGTAGACAGGATACAAATTTAAGTATTTTTTTACGTGTTCCTTAACCAGAATTTCACGTTGAACACGTTTTGCGCTACGAAGATTATTGAAACCCGATGCTATATTTACGTTTTCGATTTACATAAGTTCCAGGAAATTTGAATTTTCGACTCACAAGAAGACAATAGTCTACTTGAATCAAACCGCACACCACAATGGTTTTCGCAGACTCCTTAATCGACCAATAGTCCTTCCCTACTTTGTGTTGTTCAAACTTTTGACAAGTTACGCGGTTGAACCGAGGCAACGAAATTGATTTTGCCATATTCTCATACCGCAGAGACTGTTGATAACGTTTGGTGCGCGATTTGGCTCATGTAGACTTGTGTTTTTTCACGAGCGGGAAGTTTGAATTTACGCATTGAAAAACGTCAAACATCTCAATTAGGAGTAGATTCCGGTAATTTTCGTTGCGTGAACTGTGTTTAGAGTAAAAGTTTGTCAAGAAACTGAAATGTGTGTGTCAGAACGCTTAAATTCACACCTTGACTACTGGTCTATTCTTATACCTGTTGAATGCATCCGTGTTCATATCGATTATTCATTATTTAACATCGATTATTGATTTATTTTCCTTTTCTATTTCAGATGATGATTCAGACGGCGAGCCCGCAACAGCCAATTGTTTTGATTATGTTTTACATTTTTTAACTTTATTTTGGAAACTACTTTTTGCTACTGTACCTCCTCCAGGTAAGGCTCTCTCTCTATAATGTATTCAGTCAATTATTGCGGCAGTAATTTGTTTCCGTCTTTGAAAATTATTTTCCATTAAAATGCCGCAAATGATCAGAGGGTATACAAGCCTAGTTGAATCCCGACAATTTTTCGGGATCCACTACGGCACAATAATATTGTATGTGAACCAAGATGTATTATGACAGAGGTGAAAATAGAGAAATTTAAATTACAGAAAATTGTCTAGCCTCCTGTGGCCTTAATTTTTGGTTTTCCTGGGGGGCTAAAAATACCTACTTTTGTGGTTTCTCAGATATTTTTTGTTGGAACTTCAAAAATAATCGGAATATTCCTGAAAATTTTACACAATCCATTTAGCCTACTTTGGTGCGAGATTACTACTTATCAAGTACGGACACGCAGTATTGCAAAAATGCGATTCTGCTTTTTCATACGACACACACACGCAACCCTGGTATTATATGGTTCTACGTCCTGTTTTTGGTTGACCCTATGTTCTGAACATCCGCTTTTAGGATTCTCGGTGGAGTGTGCATGGGTTCACTGCATTAAAGATCAAAGGTCGTCCTGATATGAGTACGGGTGTTCACATAAAGATTTAAGAAGATAACGTAGGACCACACCAAAGCGCACAAAGGTCTTTAAGCAAAAGAAAATGCGACAAAAATGCACCCAAAACCGGTTTGCAGGGTATATGGTAAATGTGGACTTAAAATCGTGGAAAATAAAAATCTTGGCTGATCCTCATTTCGAGATACCGAAACTTGAAATTTTCATAGTGAAAGCAAGTTTTCTACTGAATTTGATTGGCTTTGTTATTTATTTGGCCATGAATCTGTGTTGATCGGTTCACGTTTTTTTTCTTCGTTCGTTTTGTTTTCGATCGAATACATATCCTTTGCTTGCATCCTATCACACTCTTTTTTTTACTGAGTAATTCGCCTTCTGCTGCGTATGCAGCAATTGTTGTTACGAATATGTTGTGCGTACTGATAATGGTGCATTACATACTCGACTCTCTGAAGGCGTTTTTTGTGCAGAAGTAGCGCAATCTGTCGGAGAACGAAAGAAGTAAGGGTTAATCGATTATTTCAATTTCACTTCTGTTGTACTCCGACAGGGTGCTCTACTTTCGCACATTAAACGCCTTCGAAGAGTCAAATATGTAATGAGTTGAGATCAGCACGCACAACATATTCGTAACATCAATTGCTGTGGACTCAGCTGAAGGCGCATTGAAAACAACCTCGAAATAACACATTTTTAGGACTACTTTTTAGGAATGAAAATTTGTAACGCGGTGTATTTTATTTTGCATTTGAACTTAGTTTATGTTTTAATTTATACCTACAATAATAAAACAAATTGTACAGCGGGTAACAAGGCTAATTTTCAGGGCCGGATCTACGTTTCACGTAGGGGGGTGCAAACCCAGATTTTGGCGCCCCCCACGCCGGGGGGTCTGGGGGGTATGGAATACCCCCCAGGAAGGCGGGGGGTTCGGGGGTCCCCCCCGGAAAATTTTTGAAAATTACAGCGTACCAGAAGGCCGTTTTCCGTAGTTTTTAGCGAAAAATTGATTTTTTTAAGTTTGATTTTTGAGGTCTCAAAGAGCGGTATACGCGCATGTAAAAATACTTGAAGTCGCATTCCTCAATACATTCTTTATGTGTGCTTTCTATAAAGCACTGACAGATACGTACTTACACTTCACATTTTATGAATGAATATTGGGTGTACCAAAGGGTAGGTTGAAGCTCCAGCGAATGAAGGAGGTAAGTATAAGTAACATTTTTGTGATTTTTAGAAAGACGATTTTAATGTTGAAAAGTTACGTGGGGTCTTGCAGCAAAAAAAAATTATTTAAAATGGTATTTTGAGATGAGATTTGTTCAAAATCACCGCTACAGGTATTTTGATTTTTCAGTAATCTCACTTACTCCCTTCATTCACTGGAAGCTTTTTCAACTGTGAAATTGTATCGTAGGGAAAGGCTTTTTTGAGGGTTAGTTGTTAAACAGAGTACAACAAAAACAAGAGAAAGAAAAGGATAAGTAGGTTTTAATCAATCCCATTAGTGGAACGTGCCAATAACATGTTTTAAAATTGTACTTTTCGTGCCTTCCCTGGTAAAAATTGGCAGTAGAATGTGTGTTCCAAAATACTATAGACCTAAAGCCGGCTGTAAGATTTCCAATAGCTTCTGTAGCCGGCTGTACAATTTCTTATAGCCTTTTATAGCCGATGGCGATTAAGCAACAGCCAGACGATAAAGTTTATGCTAAACGTTACTAAATACGGATACTATAGGACTTAGTTAGTTTTTGGACTACCGCTCTCTTTTTGTGCCGTAGTATCTTGATTTATTTTGCGAGGAAAGCTTCGTACTTTTGAAGGATGCCCGTCATTCTTAATATGTTGGAGAACCTTCAATTTCCTGTGATACTGGGCAATACCTCTGGTGTGAAATAGTTGCTTCAGACGCCGTGGCACGCTGCGGCGCGGCGGGCGGGCAGAGAGCGCAAAACGCGCATTGGCGCCTACAAACCTAACAGGGATACCTCACGCATTGCGCAATGCGTGAAATATCCCTATTAGGTTTGTAGGCGCCAGTGCGTCGCCGCCGCTCCGCTTTGTGTTAGGCTCTAATATTTAATCTGGCGGAGTCAGCGTTTTTCAACTCATGATTTTGAAATGTTTGCACACTCTGTATGGACTATTCTCATTTTAATTGATGAAAAAAAAATATGTTTTAAAGGAAAATATCAGAGGCGTGGCGTGCTTTGCGATATATCGATTGATTCGCCATCCAAACCTATGAAAAAAGATCGATTATCAGGGCGTTCGCAGCGAACACCTTAGTAATCGATTCTTTACCATAGCCTCAAATGGCGATATATCGATAATCGATCCTTCACGCCACGCCACTGGAAAATATAATATGTATGTGTTTCGTAAATATAAAGGTACTTCCGTATCAAACTTAATGATTTCCAAAGCACACGAATTTCTACACAATTTCTTATAGCCTTTTATAATCGATGGCGAAGAAGCAACAGCCAGGCGATAAAGTGTAAAGCCCGGTGATAGGAACTATAGCCCAACTGTATACTTTTTTATAGCTTCGTATTGCCCGGCTATATGATTTGCTCCGCTTTCTACAGCCAGCTATATAATTTTCAATAGCCTTCTCTAGTCGGCTATAAGAACTCCTATGGTATTTTGAAACGCAGCTCCTATCGCCAATTTTTACCAGGGTTTTTTTCTGAAAAAATGTCAATTAAGGAATCAAAATTAACCGTGTAGGCAACCACACTTTCGATTGACAAAATGGCCAGATTTGTCAATCTTTCCCGCGACATGGTCGACCGCAAATAATTTTTGATGAGCTTTAACTTACTAAAACTGCGTTCACAGCTAGCGGAGGTTGTCGGCAAAGTGCAATACATACGCAAAGCGATCGCGACATTTGGGAACGTATCTTTCTGGTCATTTTTCGCAATTAAATTCAGAAGGTTAAGAGGGCTTAATTTTTGAAGATTGCCAGAGAGCTCTCTGGCTTGTACCCGAAAGACTTCTGTTTCCTCGACAAATTCATAGGGATCTACGTCCATCGCGTACTTCATGGCGAAATCTTTCGCATGCTTTTTAAATCGTCATCATTCAACTTATTCATCTCTTCGCCGTTTAAAAAGCCCTTTTCCCAAAAATAGATTCAATTTTCCCGTCAATCTTACACGAAAGAAATTCTAAAATTTTAAACGCTGGAATCTTGCAATAGGTTAGTTCTGCTGGTCACAGAATCATGCTCCTTAGAAGATATGAAAACTGACAAATTTCGCCCCTTTTTTCTATAATGTTATTCCTGTTTCAGAACCTACATCTTTTCTTCCTCTCCCTCCCTCCCCTCCCTCTCTCACTCTCTCCAAAAAAAGTCATTGCCATTTTGGCGCCCCCCCTAAAGTAGCGCCTCGTCTTCTTTCATAGTGTAAGTTTACAGTCATCACTCATTGTTATTTTAATTTCGTTCTTTCCTTAAATCTAGCGCCTTTTTCACCCCCGAGTTAGCCTCGTTAACCCATCGGAATGCATTTAACGATTCCGTGTGCATTAAAAATATTGGAATTTTCAATCCATACCTTTAATCTTGACGCCTTATGCTCAGTGCTGACTTTGACTTCAGCTTTCAGGTGCTTTTCAGAAGATATGAAAACTGACAAATTTCGTCCCTTTTTTCTAATGTTATTCCTGTTTCGAGCTTTGTGGCGATTAGGCGTGGTAAAGCGCCAAAGATCGCTATAAAAGCGACTCATATGTATGTATTCCTGTTTCGATGTTCGTAACCGCCCTCTCCTCTTCCCCCCTTCTCACCCTCCCTCCCTCTCACCTCCGTTCTAAAAAAAAGTCATTGCCATTTTGGCGCCCCCCCTGAAGTGGCGCCCGGGGCACGTGCACCCACTTGCCCCCCCCTAGATCCGGCCCTGCTAATTTTCACGTAAATATCACCAAAACGTTTCGGCCGAAAACTCAGCCTTCCTTAGTTGGATAAAACAGTAAAATATTGTAAAAATCTAATAACGTAGTAGTTGACTGTTCCTTTCAAAGCGAGAACAATGTTGTCTTCTCGTACCGAAAACTGTAAGATTCGACTACTTGCAGGCAAATCCCTCCCGAGCTTAACTGACTCATTCCTCGAAATTGTCATAGGAATCCGCACAGTAAACAATTAAATTGTGCGATTAAATTTGACTACAGCTGATGTGGCTCGGTTCCTTTCTGCCAAACGCGTTCGAATTAAACATTCGCGAGTTCTCTAGAAAATCCAAATTTCGTCAGAATTAATCTGGCAACTTCCATAGGTCCATGCGGTGTTTTTCCTTATCAAGGCAGTAAAGACGAAGGCTTGTTTCCCTTCTGTGCGAGACAATTAGCATCACATTCCAGGGGCAGCTTGCCTCATTTACTCGGACGCCATCGTAGGCTGTGGACGAAATACAACTTTGGAGGTTTGGTGGGTTGGGGTTGGGACCAAGCATCAAACTTCGTTAATGCGATTATCGTATTTCCCGCGAAATTTCACCGTCTTCGTTGAATTACCCCCGGACAAAATCGTTGCTCCTCTCACATAAGGGCGGATTTCAATGTCCAAGTGAGCCCTATTTTACATATAAGCCCATTCTCTACGGGGCTCTTGCGAGAAGTGAAATGCGCCCTTGCGTCAGAAGAGCGACAAATTGGGAGAGTTCCACCGCCGTTATCAGAAGTGTCTCAAAATAATAGACCGCGCAGCAGCAGAGAAAGGGAGGAGCACAAACTTATCAAAATATCCTTCTTCAATTTCTGGAAATAGAAGTGAGCAACTTCATCAGCCGAAAATCATTATGTTATCGAGTCTTGGTCTCATAATATCAACTTAGCGAAGAGATGAACATCATTTTGCAATAAGTTGGAACTACAATTTCTTGCCCAGTTTAGAAATGTACTATTAGTTTCCGCATGCACGTAGGTGTCTTTACGGATAAGTCAGAAATTGTAGTTCCTAATTGCAAAATGTAGTCCAAATTACGATGCGCTCTGCCGCGGTGGAAGGCGTCATTTGGACTTTCTGTAATGAAGAAATAAAATTTCTGGCTCAGTTTAGAAACAACGCATGTACCATTAGTTTCCCTATACACACACGTGTTTCCACGAATGAGCCAGAAATTTTAGTTCCAAATTGCACTCCGTCAATGAAGTCCATTTGATTTTTTCCTTGCAGCTTTAGCTGCATTCTCATAGAATGAAGTCTATGCATGAGTTGATGGGAACTTGTTGTTGTTTCAGGAATATTTTCCGGATACGTGTGTTTTGTGATATCGATTATTTGGATCGGGGTCCTGACGGCGCTCATCGGTGACATCGCCTCACATTTCGGGTGCACCGTCGGGCTTAAGGACTCCGTCACAGCTGTTACACTCGTGGCCCTAGGGACCAGCGTCCCCGGTAAGTACCCTCTTAGTTAGTCTATTTTTACCATTGGCGGAACCAGAAAATTGGCAACATTGTCTTTCCTCCATTTAAACCTATGAAAATGTATCGACTCTTGAAGGGCCAGGTGCTCCGACAAGAATCGATTACTTAGCACAGGTTTAAATGGAGAAAATCCGGTATTGCCTAATTGCTGGATCCGCCACTGATTTTTACGCATGATTAAAGCGTAGTTAGGCTATTTTTACGCATGATAAAAGGAGCTGCTATCCTTCAGTGGCGAAGCGTGAATGATCGATTATTATCGATATCTCCCCATTTTAAGCTGCGGTAAAGAATTTGTCAGAAAGGTGTTCATTGCAAACACCCTGTTTTTCGATCTTTTTTCGTAGGTTTAAATGGTAGATCAATCGATTTATCACTAAACACGCTCGCCACTGCATCCTACGGTGATTGCGAAGAGAGCCGTCGGTGTAAAAATTAAGTTTTGAAAAATGGGCTCGTAGCGTCTGAGCGAAAAATTTTACTGATGTGAGAGAAGCCTCCGTTCTCAAGTAGAACAGGATTCCGCCTTCATAATTCATGCACGCAACACGCGCATCCATAGAGCTGGAATAGTTGCATTCAGGCGCTAACATCAACGGAACATAACTTTTAGTTACTTTGTTGGTCCATTGCCGTACTCAGGTTCAATGAATCGCCGTAAATTATTGGAAGGGTTCTAAAAACCGCCATACCTGAGACCTAACATCGCACAGTTTCAGAATATTCTTAAATCTAACCAATCCTGATTTCTACAACGATATAAGCCAGAATCGTAAGAAAAGAAACGATTACGTCCGTAACGCAAGAATAAGTCCGTGAAATTATGAAAGTTAAAAAAAAGAAACTGTACTATACTATATGATACCGAAATGGTCAGGTCACCGAAATGGCTCTGGACTAAGTCTTCCCTGGTAGAGGAAACCAAGGCCTGCAAAATTGCGAATGGATGACAGCCGACGAAAAATGAGAAGGTGTGATTTGAATATGGAACGACCAGTAGAGGTTTATCTCTAGATTGGATTGCTGTTTGTGGGCTGATTGTGGAAATTTATAGACAAAATGATAGACAAAGAACACAAAAGGGATACGGAGAGATCCTATCGGTGGAAGTGGGTAGCTGCAATGGACAAAGGAAGTAGGACACTTTGTCTACCGCAATTTCAACGCTCAGCCCGCTGCAGAAACTGCCTTAAACCTTGAAGTGGCACCCAATGCATACTTTTGACCATGTGAATATGAAAGCATTTTTTAATTTTATCACAACGGATACAGCAGTGGAATTTCAAGTTTCAGGGACCTTACTCAGTTTTCTGACGAAGAATTAAATTTCCTTATCCTCGAATTAATGGCGTTTTCCTGGAAAGTGTCTTTTTGAGGATGAGAGCATAGGCGAAACGCAGACGAAGGGTTGAACCCTGTATTTAAAAACAAGTCACGCTTTATTGTCACGCGGGTGTGGGAATCCGCTCATAGTGTGCGTGCGAGGAATTGAATCGATTTCTGCGTCGCAATGTCGCCAGTTCAGCTGAAATTCGTATAGGTGCAATTATAGAGAAATTACACTGAGAATATCCTGCATCCCAATTGATAATCAAGTTGTGCAATTAATATTTCGGTTATCTTACTAACAAATTTAACAAATTTATTTAGATATAGATTGTGATTGAGAAAATAAAGTTCTTACAGCAATATTTGTGCGAAATATTTCTGAGAGGTATCAATATTCTTGTGTGATAATGGTAGAACTAATCTTGCTATTTTCAGAAGTAAAAACCGAATTTAAAATATTAAAATAGAATTCTACAGAGAGACTAGAAAGTATGCTAAAAGGGCTCGATAGTTTTATTAATTTTATGTGGAAGTAATGCACTTTTGGAAAATTATTAAAAAATAATATTCGACAGATCTCTAATTCTGGGTCGTTTAAACTCTCGTCACAGTATTAAAAAGATAATGTAAAAAAATCACCAGTAGTTGACCGTAGCACGATAAACACAGATTATTATTTCAATTGCTCTAATCGAATCAACAATGGCACCTATTAAATTTTGGTTGATCTCGTATTTAAGCATAGTTATTTTTATGAAGAAAAGGCTTTCCATTCCAAATTCCAATCCGTCAACTATTTTAATTGTGAACTATCCACGCAGTGGGCGCTTTTTAATCCTAGTCTTTTGAAAGGAAAGGGGTAGTTGATGGGGGAGGATATGCCCGAAGGGCGGGGTAACGCCTCAAAAAATCTTAAGAAAATCATTCGATATTACTCGACTCGTTCCACAACAAGAGTAAATTTAAAAAACGGGGAGGAGATAAGGGTTAGACCCCGTTGTGCCATCCCCAATTGACACCCCTGTTCACGGTACCCCCCCCCCCCCCNGAATCCCGTCCATCGCGGATAATGGAGACTCCACTGTTATTTTAATTAAATAAAGCGAACTAGCTGGAGGTTCCTCTAAAGAGGCATAAGAACGCGTATTTCAGGCCTTTAGCCGACGTCACTGTTCGGGGGACGGGAAAATGAAATGTAGGGTCGATTAGGGAATACGAAATACACCGGAGCGGGTGCCGGTGTAACGCAGGTTGCGTCGCGTCGGGCCGAGGGGCTAAAATATGTCCGCCCCGTGCTCGAGCAAATATTATTTCTATCCCGCCGACCCGCCTAGGAGTAACTAACTACCGGAACCATCTGAAACAGAGCTTTGAGGCCCAAATGTTTTATTAATGTGTCGGCACATTTGTAAAATGTTAGCCGCTCTAGGAAAAAGTAGAGGTGGTTGCTCTTTCCGAACAGTGGGGCGCACGTTCAAAGTGGGTCCACGCGCGGTGGTGACTCTTGAAATTTGGCAACACTGCAGTTAGATGTGTACTGCTTCCATTTTGCGACCAATTTCAATGTATCGATGTTGATGGCTAAGCTGGAACAGAACTTTTGACTTTACTTAAAGTCTTTGGAGAATGATTTTCGCCACGAACATTTTTCGATGATTTATGCGCGGACTGAAATTTAGATTTTTCCAAAATAATTCACCTAAAGGTTAAAATTTGAGATTTATCGCTCGTAGCCAGAACGCATTGCGCAAAAGCTGAACTTTAACTTCGATGATCTATCTCAAGTTCCCGGAAAAAGATGAGCACCATTAAGACCAAAGTAGGACTCCTTCATCAAAATTTCAACCATCAACTTTGAGGAAACTACACTTCCGCTAAAAAAAATAAATTATAGAAAAACCTCCGAATTTTGACATCAGGAGCATTAGATGGACTGCATTTTGCAATTTGGAACTATAAATTCTGGTTCTTCTGGAGAAACACTTATGAGCATAGGGAAACTAATGGCATACACGTCGTTTTTAAACCGGGCTAGAATTTATAGTTCCAAATTGCAAAATGTAGTCCAAATAAAGGTAACACAGATTAATCTATTCTAAATATGTTAGGTCCCTCTCCGCTATCCTATTTTTGAGCTGATGCGCCGTTTGAACGCATTGCCACTGGTATACTAAAATTGAACGTATTTCTGCTAAATGGAACTATGTGCATTAAGACATGAGCCCTGAGACCCATAAGAATACATGCTTAACAGGGCTCACGTCCTAATTCACATAGTTCCGTTTGATAGAAATACGTCCAATTGTAGGGGTAGGTTGAAATAAAAAAGCGCTCTCTGTCGTCTGAGCGCTTAAAACTTGGTCAGTTTTAAGTGTATTCCTTTATCAATCAGAATTTATGCTCGGTTTCAGACTGAAATTTCGCTTAAAGATTTACGTTTTATGCGATACAAAATATTCAATCTCATTTTTGAGAGATTAACTTTCCACGCTCCACAATTTATGATAATTTTATCCTCCAGCCGCGTTGAACAAACGGGGAACAATGCATTGATTTGCACCCGTTTAGACGGCCAAATATGACATGAATTACTACTCTCCAACAATCAATAAATCGGAGTTTTAAATAGGGCACAGCCTCTCAAAATAGAGCGCTTCAGAAAATCCACGAAAAAATAAATACAAAATACACTCTCGCAATTACCTACTCTTCATCCTACTCCCAGACAGTGATCATCTGGTCTGCTAATCAACAACCAACTGAACTAATAATACTCGCCTTGTTTTATAAATAGAAGTCAATTCACCCGACTGAAAAAAAAAAAAAATTAGTTTGAGATTTTTCCTGGTTTTTGATTGACTGACAAACTGCCGATTAAAAATCCGTTTTATACTTACTTTTGGGGGAAAATTTTAAACAACTCCTAGAAAATAAAAGTTTTTTGTGTTTTTTTTTAAAGATTTCACGTGAATTTTACAATTGACATCATCAATTGTTTACGTAGAAAAATAGTGTCAAAAGGGCTTCCTAAAACAAAATTTTTAACTGGTTTATTTGAGTTTTTAAAACGGGCTTTAAAACGGCAGTTCGTACTAGAGACTTGCTAAAATTAACAGTGAATCTCCAGTTAAAGAGATATCAACCTTCGAAGAAGATATTTCGGGTCGCAAAAAAACGAGGGTATTTGCAGCTGAAGTTTTCTTGTTAACTCGTTACATATCCGGTGCATATGAAGGCATCGCCATCTCCTACGACAGCTTTCCCATTATGGCAAAATACGTGGTCTAGATACAGACCAATTGTTCTCTGCTTTTTTCTTTTCTCTCTCTTCCTTCTCTCCTCTTTTATTCCTATTTCATAAGAGTGCACAAGTATTACCACCGAAGCGAGACGATACAAGAGCATGACAGAACTTACGACTATTAAATTCGCATACATGAGACTTGATGCCGTGTCTTTCTTCGGAGAGATTTCTCTATCATTGTGACCCGCATAAATTATTGCCCGTTGTAAAATAGTTGTAACTTGCACTAACTTTTTTCTCATTACTCTGCACTAATTTTTCTCTTCCTGCCACGATCACACCTGACAAGGGGCTATTCAAATAGACTTTATTTCGAGATGAGTCACCACTATCTCTC